ACAAACAAACAAACAAACAAACAAACAAACAAACAAACAAACAAACAAACAAACAAACAAACAAACAAACAAACAAACAAACAAACAAACACGCAAGCCTCAAAGCACGCTGGCCTCAAAAACTCGGAGCTGGTTTCCATGAGGGGCGTGATAAAGATAAACATATATTAAAAATACAAAGACAAAAAAAGAAGAATTACATATACAGTAGGCAACAGGACGAGCCAATTTTAAGTGTTTGCCTGATTAATAGTTCTTTGAAAAGAACTTAAAGATTTAAGATTCCGCTACTTTTACCTATCATATGTCATTTGGGGTCTGAACTTCATATATCTGGTGTGGGAACTCGAGTCGAAAAGTGAGGCCTAGATGGAGTCATGGAGCCAATGGACATGAATTCCATTCCCTTTTCTATTCTTTTTGTCTGCATGGTTCAAAAAGAATATTTCGAAATTTCGTATTTTGACCTCGACAGTGGTTTAATGACCTGATAACTTGTTTAGCGGATAGGACCAGTTAGAAATAACTGTACTAATAAGCTGGGGAAAATGATATTAAAACTGTTTATGACCTTTCGATAGGGATAGTGAACGTTAATTTCCACCATCTTGGGTTCACTTTTCTCATAATAGGCCAAATGACTGAAGGTTCTAGATCTTGTCCCAATTTTTTACTGCACACTGCATGATCATTACTCTCTATAACAATGATTTGTATACATATACAGTACTTCCATCAAGTTTCAGTCCAACCGTAATTCCTATTAAATAAATGTTATGTATAGGTTCCTACCTTGAAACTGAACTTCTGTCTACCCATCACGTTGACTCATTGAGTGGTTGTGGTCAGCAGACCCTTGCAGAGGGGACATGCGTTGGATTTAAATATCGTCCAAGTCATGACAATGAACCAAATTGTAAAACTTTTAAGAAAATGAAAAAGTGTTCGAAATGTGCCGCAGCTGGCAGTAATGATGCTTGGGAGTACTATAAGGCTGTAGAATCTAAACAAGTAAGTGCAAATTAATATTTCCTCTACATGTAAGCTTTGAAGCAACCGGATCTTGAAGGGTCGTGAAAAAGACCGCATGCGTTAGGCTCAGCTTGATCAGCGACCGTCGCATGAAACGTTTTTTGCCTCTCGCGATTTTATCGCAGATGATCGTCGTTTGTCTGCGATGTAAATTTCACAATCATTGTCACCACTTTCAACGTGCGTCGCATCCGGTGAATATGAAATGAGATATTCACGACACGAAACATGAGAGTAATTTTGTATCGAGTATTGTTTGCTCGCCTTCAAATTAAAATTGTTAACATCTCTGGCCTTTCAAAGAATTTCCACTTAGTATATTTTGGCCATTTTGCTCCTTTCGGCATAGTTCGGTTGCCGTTCGGAAATTTTCATGAACTCTCGCTTACTGTTCAGTACTTCGCGCCCGCTGTTCGCGCCATATTGTTATTTTGGCGCCATATGCACAAGAAGCTGTTTGTCTATTTTAATATATTTACGTTTTATGAGTAAACTTCAATATTTGCGTGTGTTTATAGGTTATTTTGGTAAACTTTAAGAGCAATATTTGAAGGTTTAGCAAAAAAAGCGCCCGCATTCTCCTTTTTTTTTCAAAATTCGGACGAGAAACTACTAATTTTTTTTACTTGGCCTAATAAAATTTGTGATAGAGTTGGGCAATATTATCGTAATATCAGTTTCACTCAAGTACCGAATGTGGAAACGTATAGCCGGCGATACAAGATTACGATTAGCATTTCCGGCGATACAGGATTACGATTAGCATATCTATATTAGTTATTAGCATCTTCAGTTGCACTCTTGAATTCATTAGGTTGGATACCTTTCTATGAGGAGAGTAGGATCAATAAATGTGCAATCATGCATAAACGCGTACACGGTGGACTGCTTAGTTATTTAGAAGATAATATTGTTGTTAACAATCAAAAGTACTCTTGGAATACAAGATATTCGAACAGCAACATTATTTGTCCAAGGTTTAAACGAGAAACTGACGGAGGAAGATCATTGGTTGTCACTGGTGTTAAATTATGGAACGCACTAGGCTACCTTTGGAACTGAGGGAAAATGTTCTTCGAAAGCTTTTAAAAGAAAAATGTGGATAGCATATTTGAGCATCAAAAACTTTTAAATCATTTTATTGTGTAATTTTTATATCCGTTAATATAAATATTAAGTATCATTATTGTAAATGTAGAATTAGGTATTGGTTTTTACTATTTTATGAACTTTATTCTATTGATATTGTAATTTTAGTTAGTTTGAGGGCCACAAGTTTATTAGCTGTTTAGCTAGTTTAGCTCTGCCGCTCGTTAAATAAATATTCTATTTATTTAATTATCTATATATGCGCAGTTTAACAATGAGATAACGATGCCGAGTTGTTATGAGCGAATAGTCAACGAGGCGAAGCCGAGTTGACTATTCACTCAGAGACAACGAGGCTGAGTTGTCTAATTGTTTTAGTATAAAGCACATAAAGAAAACTGAATTTAGCTGAATTTTAACTGATTTTTATGTTAATAAAATAATAACTTTTTAACGAAATGAGCGTTTAAATGGCTTCCTTTGAGGGGAAAGTCTTTCACTCGCATTTCGGATGTTCCTCCAAGTTGGTGTTTGGAATTATGTTCCAAGCAAAGATGTTCCAAGGTATTTTGGACTGAACACCAGATGAAAATTTGATTGAAATGCCCACTGGTGGACTGTCTAGCTTGATGGCACTCCATATTTGTTTGTAATATTTTGATATCATCTTTCATTGCAGACATCAAAATGTTCCAAAAACAGGTTTTGCAAAAATGATGGGAAGTGTGTTGAAAATCCATGTGATAAAGAAAATGGCTTCAATTGTATTTGTCCAGCAAATTTTTCTGGAAAGTTTTGTGAAAACGTGATTGGTAGGTCAATAATCAAGCATGATACTTTATGAGAAGAAATTGTAATTATTTTGAGAAACACCATTTTAAAATAAGCGACTATATGACGATTTCTGAATTCATTTCGCATTGTATCAACCTGGATATTGCAATAAGACTCATCCAAACATTGCTTATATTTATCTAACATGAAGCGTTTTTCTTACTGTTATGTAGGTAATTTTTCTTCTTGTCAAAGCTTGCATAATACTGGACGGTAAATTCTCTTCTATTTACTCGACACTACCACATGCACGTATTGTAGATAAGCGAAAAAGAATTCTAACGTTTTTCTACATTAGAAACAGTGGACCAGAAACTGATCCTCAATCTCTGCTATTGTTATTGTTGTCGTTGTCGTTGTTTTTACAAACCATAACAAAGACAGTCATAGACCATTGATTAAATTTTTAATATAATCAGTAATCACTACCAATTGCCAACTAAAAAAATTAATTCCTATAAGCATTTTCACTGAGCGAACATTAAGTTTGCTCTTAATATTACGCGGAAAATTGCACTGATGTAAATGTGAAACTGATAAAAAAAGCTGTCTAGTCTGTTCTGCTCATGCACGTGTTTTGCTTACATTTTTTGCTGAAACAGTAGATAATTTAATTAAAATTCCGATCTGTGGGCCCATAGATCGGAATTTCAATTAAATTATCTATTGTTTGAAACATAATATGTAAACTAGAAAATACATGCATGCAGAAACCCACGCCTTGCTGACAAAACCATTGTATTTTCCTTCTGGTATTTTCCGAACGTGACGTATTTAAAGTAGTTGTCATGGTAACACGATATTTTTTTAAGAATATTTTTACAAATGAAAAATCCCCTAAAAATATCACTTTTAATTACAAAATTATCAATTTCCCAAACATATATATGTTAGGTATGTTATTCGTTGGTGACCTACGCTCGCGATCATTGATGAACTTTAGACTTCGCTAATGCTTTCGTTTCCCCGGGTGTAAATAGCCGGGCGGAATTAGTACCCTCGCACGGTGTTTCGCGGCGTCGGGTCGGGGATAAAACACGCGCATGAGCAGAACGGACTTGACAGCCTCTTTAATAATTCATGAAGAAAACACAAAAGAAATCATGACGGTGAAGGAGTTTGTATATCTGATTCAAAATCATGCTGATTTATATATATATCGTGGTTTAGGGATGTGCCAAATGGGGTTTATAACATTCAAAATAATGGAGGTACAGTTGTGACGAAAACGTATTGCCAAATGACGTCACTTAAAGGTTGCGCTGGTGGCGGATGGACAATGGTGATGAAAATTGATGGAAACTTGGTAATATAATATATTTCCTTCTATTGTATGAATTCACATTTGCGTTTACTGCAGATAAATAAAAAACATGTCCATATCAAGAGTATCTTATTCTGTTCAGTGGCGAAACCTCCTTTGAGCCCCCTGAGAAAGGATAAGTTACGCTATACTGATTCTGTTTCTAGTAAGCGAGCGCGTCATTTTCAGATAATAGACACATTTAGGAAAAACGACGCGACCTCAAAGATGCGCCTATAAAAAAATCTTTATACAAGACAAGGTGTGAATAATTCGAGAGATCATGGGCCTCATGGCTGTTGCAAACACCGTCATACTGAACACAATGTTAATCTAAGATTTGCATGCACGTCTTTGGAGCAACATAAAAGCTTGTTCCGACGTTACAGGTAAACGCATGCAAGGTTAAACAGAATTTTCGCCGTGAACACGCCTTGCCCTTGGTAAATTTTTGCTTTTTGAACAGAAAAAAAATTATGGATGGCTGTAAGCTATTAAATTAAACGACTATAATAAGTTTTCCAAAATAATATATGGCTAAATAGGAACGAAATCTTACATGAAACACAGACAAAATCAACACTGAAGCACTACAAGGGAAGCAAGACTAGTTAAATTATTCCATCGTGAGGATGACAGATTTGCCTTTGATGATAACGCTGCACGATTTCTTTTATTAAGACATGGGTCTTTTTTTAATTATTGGCGAGGTAAACTTTGCGCAAACATTGTGACATAGGTGCTGTCAGGTAACAGTAGAACAAACTCTGTACAGTGACATAATAAACGAAATCCAAAACCGACCCGTTATCTCCAGCCCCGCCAACTCGAACAATTAATTTTTCGCCCCCTTTGGAGTTCGAGTAGCACCCTGCTACTTTTTCAATATTCATGTCAAATAGCCATTTGCTTTCTGGAAATAACTTTATGGTATCTAAATCAGGTGGAGATAATTTTTCCTTGAACTTCACTTTTTCATTTCTATACAGCCTACATTCGAATTCAATGCTACTTACTGGTCAAATAAAGTGAGCTACAATCAGATTGATGGAACGTCAGGATTTGATGACGTTGAAACCAAATTGCCGAGCTACTGGATTACTTCATTTACAGAAATATGTGTTGGCATGAAAGTCGGTAATGATCTCCGATTCCTGGCAATACCACATGCTGGTCAATCCTTGCACAGTTTGTTGGCGGAAGGAAAGTTTATTGCCACCAATGTGAGCCGAGAAAACTGGAAATCATTGATCGCCAATTCATCGTTACAACCAGGATGCAACCATGAGGGATTTAATATATATGACCCTGATTATGATCATATGGCTGCTCGCATTGGTATTATCGGCGACGAACTGGTCAGTAATGAGGCAACTATTGTGTTTGATGACTTTCCTCTACTGAATAATTTGTAATTTAGGTATCCCGGCTCCAATTATAACCCATTATACCGTGTTTATACACATTCTTGAACGTAAAATATTTTTTCCGCCTTGCTGTTTTTTTCCTTGTATTCAATATCAAAATTATTCATCTCGTACATGAAGTAGTACTGATTATTTGAAAGTGTCACTCGGTTGGCGCCATCTTTAACGCAGGCGGCGGAGCAGAGGGGGCTATAGCCGCCTCCCCCCCCCCCCTGAAGTAAAAGTGAGAAGGATAAGCCCCCCCACTACCACCACCGAACACCAACTTTCAGAGTAAGGCAGTAATATGAATATTTCTGATCGCTGCCGAAAAAACAAAGGAAACTAAACTATCAACATTGTGGTCAATCAAAAATAATTTCTTAAATTAAGTGAATTTAAATATAATTCCTGAATTGTGAAGCAAGTTTTGCATGTCGTCCATGCAATTTCTTCAACTCGACGCCAGAAAGTAAATCGTATTTCTGAGCTTCAATTCTTCAATTTTTTCCCGCAGCATACCCCCTAGGTTTCAGCGCTCCTAACTTTAAATATCTTGCTGTCCACTGCTGTTCACACTGCTGTTCACAGTTGGATCATTTTTTGCGTGCCGTGTTTGGACTTAGCTGAATACTTCGTCCCGAAACTGAAAATTAATCCCTCCCCCCTCCCCCCCTCCCCCCTCCCCAATAGAATGTGTTTCGCCGCCACTGATCTTAAACAATGCCAGTTACATTCTGATCATGCTCAGTTCAGATACAATATGGCTGCCATTATTTCCTACCAGTTTATACATGTGGACAGAATATGTTCATTTGGTGAAAATGCAAGCTAACTCCACAAGTGACGCTATGCACTTAGAGTATAAAATATTAAAATAATCCCCAAGCCAATGGCGCGGAGCGCCGTGCTTGGGTACTAATTCCGCCATCGTGTTACCATGACAACTACTTTAAGTTAAATACTTCATGTTCGGAAAATACAATGGTTTTGTCAGCAAGGCGAGAGGGTTTTTGCATGCATGTAGTTTTTGGAATAGTAAACTATTTTATCTGATATACAGTACTCTTACAGGAAGACTGTGATATGGCGGACTCGTTCATTGGTTTGGGAGGAAAATACAACATATCAAGTCAATGCTACCCAGGGATCAAGAACTCACCAGTGAGTGGGAATCTTGCATCGTGTGGAGCGGACGCGGGAAATGTCAACATAAAGTCAATGGGATATATCTTAGTTCGTTAGACCGCTTGCTAGTTCATTGAAAGAGATGTGGCAATAAAATTTCACTCCATCTCATTTGGAATGACTTTCAAACATTATGGGGAACTCCTTACAGCTTCCTCAAATATTGGTTAGATGTAGAAATATTTTGACTGAAATCATAATAAATTAGTGAGTTGTCCGCCATCTTGGATTATTGTGGATATGCACAGGCAGGGTCATGCAAATATTTTACCCAATATGCAGTGGTCATTATATGAGCTCCAAATTGACTAACAACATTTTAAGCATCTACTAGTTATCGCTTAATATTTACTGAGAACGAGGGAAACAGCGTGTTTTGTAGCCCCTCGACCGCTGTTAGTATTAGCTATAAACGTTTTATATATCATAACGATTTGAGGAGATTGTTTAACTTTGGCTGTCAAAGCAATGTTCTTCCAGAGTCTGAAGTCCTTTTGCCGTTTCCAGCACGTCTATATATACCTGACTTTGAACTCGCCCTCTTAGATTATCTGTTTTTGTCTCTTAATAGGGAGTTTAAGCTTCACGTTTCCGGGAACGGCAAACGGCGTTTGCATGGACGTGCTGACGTCTTTTAAGACGTCACAATCACGTCAGCACGTCCGTGCAAACGGTAAACGCCGTTTGCCGTTCCCGGAAACGTGAAGCTTAAACTCCCTATTAATAAGAGACAAAAACAGATAATCTAAAAGGGCGAGTTCAAAGTCAGGTATAGACGTACGTGCTGGAAATGGCAAAAGGACTTCAGACTTTTTAAAAAAAGAACAACGAATGAGCAACGTCTGATGGGGCCCAGCTCCGTTCAAGCATGGCTCTATTTTAATTTTTTTCCTAAAATAGTTGGTGAACGGGGGGGGGAGAAATTTTCTTTCGGAGGAAGAAACTTTTTTCGGCATATAAAAAATTTCCCGGACATCAACCAGAAATATGGGACATTTTGCTCCCGCTTTTGTAGTCAGCGGCTAAGTCCGTTTTATATGCCCAACATTCCCTAATATAAGTAAAACGACTTCGCATTTTACTTTGAATCTCCAGTTCAAGTATTATTCAACCAAAAACTGTGATTCTAAACTATATTTTGCAGTTTATGCTGATCACTTCCGGTATTTTGACCTTTAACCCCGCAAATTTTTATGAAGACTAAAAATATTGCAAATATCCTAAAAAATCCTAAAATATCCCTGTGTTTTTACGTGAGAGCCTGGGATCTAGTCTTTTAAAATAAACAACAAACATGGCTGCTCGAAACAGCTCAAATTTGTATTAAAACTTGTCGTTTTCGGATATTAAGATGGCCTAATGGCGACATACAAGAACCGTAAAAAGGCGAACTTTTAAACGTTTCGGGAACCAGTTTCCCTGGGAATTACAGCGGATTTATTTAGCTAAATTAACAGTTTGGACATCATTAAATATGTTGCGAGCTCCGCACTTTTCATCGCCCGAATGGATGTTGGTCTATTCGTCGGATATTTACCTCTTGTGTCAGACGTTTACTATAAATTACACTATGAAATTCGTCAAATTGCGTGTAAAAATACAACATTCTCAGGAACCTGCTAGACGCGGTGCAATACTAGCGATTTTTGTTTAGAAATATTGCTTGTTGGTGTCGCTACTATAATCGAGCTCCGCAACCATGAAATATTTAAACAAAGTATATTAAAATTTGATATTTTGATCAACTCCCATATAGTTTATAGTAATATTTGGTCGCCATATTTGGTCAAAGTGCGCATGTCCGTCGCCATCTTGTCCCATATTTCTGGTAATTATTGCAATTTTTCCTTGGAATACAAAAATATTTTTCCCACATATCGTTAGTTTAATTTTTCTGTCCCACATACGAAAATGTTTCCGTAAATTTTGATTTTTACAATATAGAAATTGTAATATCTTAATCTTGATTTTGAAAATTAAAATCTATATATATATATTGTTTTTTATTTTTAATTTTAGGGTCCCATTAGGCATTATGGCAGGGGCCCACAACGAGTTCTCGTTGTCTCGTCCCTAGCCAGCACGTCTCTGGCCGATAACGCAAAGCTTAAGCTCTCTAATAATAATTAATATCTTCTTCCGAACTTTGAACTTGCCGGTTACGGCGCGAACAGCTGACTTCCGAGTTTCATTACTGACCCGTCAATAATTGTTTCATTGTTGACCGGTTACTCCCTCATCGAAGCATGCAGTGAACATGACGTTTTGTGGACCGGCACGTAATACGGTTTTGTCCAATTGACAAACAGAAAACTTCAACTTTGCTTAAACTTAAACTTTCTTAAACAGAAAACTTAAACTATATAAAAATTGTTATGGCAGTTTGATATGGACCCCCCGCTTTTGACGTTACCAAAGCCACCGTTAGTGAGATCAAAAACTAATCCTAGATGGCGCGCGGTAAAGTCATTGTTCTCAGTCAAAATATTTCATGAACTAACTATATTTTTGAAAGTCCTATCACATGAGACAAACTTAATTTTTATGTACTGCCACATATCCCTTGCAATATATCTTCTTAATTATGCATGAAGGCTTCGTCTTTATATATTTATTTTGGCTGTTTAGTTACCGAACACGATCTGAGAGTGATACATAGGAGAAAATGTTGGGCATAAACTTTATTGCATTGCAAAGGAAGAAATTAAAACATTCTCGGCTATTGAAACATATTAGTTACAAAAATGCGAGTCACTATATTGCTTTTAGTACTGTTTAAATATTCAGCATCTCTAGTCAGTCCGCCAACATTCTATAAGTTATGCACGAGAAATTTTGCTTACATTATGATACAGCACTCTATATAATTATGAAATTATTCGTGATTTGGCGTACTCAATTGAGTTGTTGAGCACGCGGAAAGTTGGGAGAGCACAAAAAGCGCAATTGTTGCTAAAAGCGCTAGTCGAGACAAAATGTAGAGCTCGCATGAGTGGTCTCCAAACTTCCAAACTTTCAATAACTCGATTATATTGAGCACACCAAATCATGAAAAATTATTTTATATGAAATTTTTATCACAGTTCATCTTGATCTCAAATTATAGGGCATTTCATATTTTTATTTGTGCTAGATCTAGAAGAAAGCCTAGCATCTTAGAAGGGATTCAACGAAATTTGTGCAGCTAATAAAACTTTTGGAATGATTACTTGGTTGCCATAGCAACACACTGTTCACCAGGTTCCTCTTTCCTATTTGCCTAATTCTTTGCTTCGAACAAAATAGAAAGGCATTTTTGTGATTTACATTTATTATTATCGTTCTAAAATGTGAATATAAACTATTCCGTTCCAAAGTTAAATAAAATATGAAGAGAGAGAGAGACCTGCATGGTAACAAGCGTGTTGCTATGACAACAAAATAAGCATCCCAAAATGTTTCTTTGGTGCACTTATCAACTGTATCAAATTTCGTTGAATCACAGTTCTGAGATATCCGACATTTTTCTCTTTGCTGCCAATCTTAAGCACAACCTGTGACGTCACAACACAAAAATACAAAATGCTCGAGACAACTTTGAAAGAAGATGAGCGGTGAATAAATTGCCAATGCCATTCTTCGTATAATGTTATTCCGAAAAAATTGTACATGAATACGGCAGTAAACAGATAAATGAAAAACAGCTAAATAAATTTTCTGAATTTAATTTTTAATTAATTAAGGACCTTTCAAATAACTCACTAATTAGACATCGCGACATGGTAAATACACACCAGTGATATTCACAACATAAGCTCCAAGTTACTATATGAGTAACTTGGAGCTAACAACATGAGCTCCAAGTTACTATATGAGTAACTTGAGTAATTTACTCATATAGTAACTGAAGTTACTATATGAGTAAATTCTTAAACACGTCCGAATTTATCATTATGATAAATTCGCGGCACATTTTGAATTTATCAATGGAGTTAATCATAAAACCACAAGCATTAGACAAGAATTCTTGTTATAAATGTAATGGCACTATTCTTGTTATAAATGTTAGGGATGGGCGATACCAGCTTTTTCATTCGATACGATATTTGCTCGATATTTGCCGGGTTTTTTCGATATCGATATTTTCCCAACTTGAAATCATTAACAACGGCCACAACGCTAACAATATAAACATTGAATAATATATATCAGTGATTGCAACCAACATAACCAGAAACGAACATGAACTATTTACGCCTATTTAGGCTTTTTGGTATCATTTTCATGATGCCGCTGACCAAAATGAAAAATATCGCGGGCGCAGAAATATCGAAACCTCGATATTTCTTGCCAGTATCGATACTTTTCTTCAAAACCCTGGTATCGATAGTATCGAGTATTTGGTATCGATATCGGTCCATCCCTAATAAATGTAAAGGGAGGTTGGTGAGATTTTCAAGATTTTCAAAAAAATAGTTTTTAAAAAAGTTTTAAAAGAGTTTTAAAAAGCAAAAAAAGTTTAAAAAGTTAGATTTTCAAAGTTTAAAAAGTTAGGGTTAGGGGTTAGTGGTTAGTGGTTAGGGTTAGTGTTAGGTGCCGCGAATTTATTTCTTATGATAAATTCGGACGTGTTTAAGTATTTACTCATATAGTAAATTCAAAGGTGGAGCTCATGCTGGATATTCACCAATAATCACCGTAGAATTCGGTATCGATTAATTAAATATTAAGTGCAATTTTATATTCCATGACTGATACATGTACGGTCATCGCCAGCGATAATTTTCCATGAATTATCTTCATCTCACATCAAGGAACATCCGCCTTTCTTCTTATGAATAACTTTAGCTAAAGGATAAATAAAACTAAATAAAAATCAATTATAATCCTTCTAATCACATCTCCCGCAATCTCGTACCCAGAGCAATGCCTATGCACGGGCTAGGATGGCATTGGCTCTAGGGAAATTGACTTTTCCTGTGCTGTGATTGGTTTAACGTTTATCAATCGTGCATGCCGACAAAGAACCGGAACCCCTAAATTTAGGGGTTCCGGTTGTCAATTTCCCCAGAGCCAATGCCATCCTAACCCGCGCACAGGCATTGCTGTGGGTACGAGATTGCCTCGCCCGATGATTTGGGATGGCTCTTTTCGCGCAATTTGATTGCCGGGTTGCTCAGCTCCGGATATCCTTGCACTATTCACTTCCGGGCAAAATGGTTTCCCGTTCCGTTCAATTTATAGACGAGCGACTTTTTGCACTAAACGTAGCTGCGATTTCGCCAAACACGAAGAAAGCCACAAAGTTTTGTTTAACAATGTGCATAGGTATTCTTTAAAGTAATTTCTCACGAATAAAATGACGGGAAGCTTTAGATAAATAACGGTTTTGTTTATCAGTACAACTATTATGGGAGCTGTATAATAGAATTTTTTTCGAAAATATTATCCTTGTTTTTTGGTCGTTTGTTTTGTAGTGGTATATTCTCAGTGTCGGTGAATAGTATAAGGATATTCGCCTCAACGCTTCGCGTTTTGGTGAATATCCAAGCACTCGGTCTTGCTGTATTAAAATGATATATGGAGAGACAAAAATTAATCGAAACTGTTTACTCTAGGCCTTGTTTACACGAATCATTTTTGGTATGACACGCTTGAAGTGACCTCGGTTGGATATTTTCCCGTACTGCCCTCACTCTCGGTCAGTAAGTTATTATAGTATTGCCCGCATAGAGGGGTGATTTCATCGCGTTTTTGTCGTGTTTCCGTCCTAGGCACGCCGGCCTTAATGTACTTACGTGGCCTGTTCTGTAATTCCTGAACATTTTGTCTTGCAACCGTAAGTTGTTGATTTAGACCAGCTTGTTCTCGACGTAGTTGTTCTATTTCCCTGTTTCTCTGTTCCTCCATCCTTCGCTGTTCATTGCGCAATCCTTCGATATTTGCCGAATGTTGGTTCCTTAATTCAGCACGCTGTTGCTTGTCAGCCTGTTCCCTTTCTTGACGTATCTGGTTAATTTTGTTTTCGTTGGCTTTTTGTATGGCTTCAATCTATAAAAATAGGGTTGAATGTGAAAAATATAATTGCCATTCACATCCACGAAAACTTAAGTGTATATAGCAGGTTAATTAAATTTAAAAGTGCGGAAATAGTTCGTCCTAGGTTTCCCTATTGATGAAAGAAATTATGCTGTTCAATTGGCGTGCATGAAAATGCAAAAATTTCAGTATCTACGAGGAAAACAGTGAAAACGCGCGCGATTAAAATACTTTGCATACAAATTCGCACAGTTACCCAATTAAAATGTCTTTAATCCTTCGACATTACATGTAGTTGAAAATGTCTTTTATACTATGTTTTAGGGACTGGTCATAAAGTAACTGCTAGGGTGGGCTGGAGGTAAATCACAAATTTTGTCAATAAGTTCGGTGACCCATCTTAGGATGTAGATAAAAATTTCAAAGCCCATCTAATCTTACAAAAATATTTTCATGACCCACCCACCTACATAATTCTACCAAGCTTGACCAACACATTGATCACCAATTACAATACTGAGCTGCTCTCCAGTTGGTCAGGGCATTTTTTAAGAAATTACAACTACTGGGGCTAAGTCTCAATGAGGGCCTTTTCCCCACACAGTTACGCATACATAAAGACCATGCTGTGCTGACGTTTATAAGATCATGGAATATCGAGAATGAGAGAATATGAGAAAGCAGGCAGATGCATGCAGCTTTTTCAACAGGGATGACGTTTTACTGATGATCAAAAGGGTCCAGCTCATCTGAAAATATTGCTTCACTAAGGGCGTATACTGGAGTAAATGTCCCAGTAGTTATATAGTTAAAAAATGCCTTGCAGTTGGTTGTATTTGTTCTTGTATAAACAAAGTACTGTCTTCAATAGCATAATTTGCATTTGATAATTTGGACAGTTTTTTTACTTTTATTATTATCTTTATTTTTTGAAGTAGACATGCATGGGTTTTTGTTTGGTGGCCCAACCGTGGGCATACAAAAAAATTGGCGGCCCATCGAAACTGCCCAAAGATTTTCCATGGCCCATCCCAAATCACTCCAGCCCACCCTAGCAGTTGCTTTATGACCGGTCCCTTATTGCATGTTCCATTTTTGCTACTGTACGTTTTGTAATTATGTTTCCTGCCTCTTAGCCGCGAAGGTAGCGTAACTTTCTTCTATAATTCTTACCTCTGCCATGTGTTGCTGTCCGCGTGCTTCTCGTTGTCTTAAAAGTCGCTCATTCTCCGCCTGGTGGAAAATTTAAACACACTGCTGTACTTATCAGCTCTTATACATTGTGAAAATCTGAAGAAAAAAGCTTGAGAAGACAATAGTCACTACCTGGGATCTTAGTATAAAAAATGTCTAACGGAAATATTACTAAATTCTGGATATTAATAACAAAATCTGCATGGTTAGGGTTTATACGAATGTGTCTATATATGATAGTTGTGTAATCAAAAAACATAGATTAAAAGCATAAAAAACATAAATTTTCTATTTAAATTCTACTTTTAATTATGTTATTCAATCTTTGTTTTCATGCAGGTTTACTGATAAAAACGTGTTGCAAACAGCCGTTTCAAGCTGAAGAGGGCCGGTTTTGAGTTTACGTTGTGGAAAAGTTGAAATTCCATATGCTTGTCGCTTGACAATGATTTCTTGCCCTTGTACACAGTTGAACATTTTGTTTCCAAAACTACGGTGAATTTAACTGAGCTCCATTTAAACTATGACATGAGGAGTGACAAAATTTATTCAGGCTATATAGTTAGCAGTTAAAAGATCGAGACAGGAAACAATTGAAAATATTTGCGGTAATTAAATTATAAAAGTTTTAACAGTCCCCAGGCACAGGATTCCGGACCATGTCCAAATGATATCGATCGTAATAATTCTCCTGTTGCTATTGGAGATGAAAGGCTAGCATTCTGTCCGCTCACGATTAACAAAAAATAATATAGAAATATGCACTAAGAAAAGCAAGAACCCAACAGTAGCTAAATCAGAAAATAATGTAGATGCAGGGAAAAGCAATACACTACCTCGGATTCCTGACATGCAGCTTCGAATAAAGCTTTTTGTATCCGTTGGTTTTCTATTTCATTGTGATAATCTTCAAGTTGGGAAATAGTCCTCATTGCTTGTTTCTTCCTTTCTTCCAGACCCTATAAAAGCCATGCACATTGCAAAATCAAAACTGACAGTTCTGTAGTTTTCTGGTAGATAATAATCTGCACAACCAAAACTACAATTATCAAAACAACAACGACAACTACAACAACTGACCACATTAAACTTAACAGCAACAGCAGCAGCAGCAAGAAAACCACAAGTAACTTACATAACTTACAAGAACGAGAGACCTTAACCTGAGGGCTGATGTTTACAGAAAACTGCTAACCAAGAACGGCAATTTTAAAAGCTCGTTTATACACTTTCAATGTTTCATACCCGATGAGGGAACATGTATTCAGAACATTCATAATTCACCACTCGTTCACATACATTCGAAAATTAAGAAAGTTGCACTGGATTATTAACTCGCAGCAAAAAATGTAAATGTAAACGGGCCTTAAGGTGGCTCGATATAGTTATCACAAAAACCCTGCTCAAGAATCGCGAACTCAAAACCAGGTAACCATTTTTACGCGCGGGTCGCGGAAACTGATTAACAAAATGAAAGAACTTCCAAAATGACCTGACGTGAGCAGTTGCTTGCGCCATATCACGCCATTGCGTGTGTTCTATAGCGTTTTATGACAATTGCTGACGTCATTAGAATTTTCCATTTTAGAAAAACAATGCGCTATATCTCTTTATTTTGTCTGGTGACCTATGTTCAAATTTTGCATGCTCTATTGCACCGCTAAAAACTTTCATTATACAAAAAATAAAAAAATTCTGTAATGCCAAAAAAATGTTATTGAAGAATATGACATTTTCGCATTTTCCAAAAAAATGGCATTACAGAATTTTTTTATATTTTGCTAATTGTTAGCTTTTCGTCCAAGTAAAATAATGCACGAAAAAAAATTGGGGGTCACCATGCTTTTTTTCCAACTATACGAGACGATAGGCCATTTTGGAGTGAATTTCGTACACGTATGTCGTCATAGCAACGAACTATCTGTTACTAAAACTAATATAATTTGAAAGTAAAGTTATCAAAATATATAAAAAAAAACAATATCTGTTGAATAAATCCTAAAAATACGTAGTTTGAACATGTCAAAGTGTTAAACACCTGAATTTTCGAAAACTGTATCGAGCCACCTTAAAATGTAAAAGAATCAACAACCAGCCACTTGCAACAATACTAAACCTTAATAACTGCCATTACAGAATGACCTAGGCAAAAAACGCATTTTGGCCCAAAAATGAGTTAGGCAATCATGCTAAGAGGCTGACAAAATTTATTTTTAGATCGACAGTTAGCCATTAGATGTTAGGACAACTTACAAATAACTTAATGATCGTTTGGCGGCCATCTTGAAAACCTGCCACGAGCGTAAGTTAGGCATTTATTACAACATCCAAGATGGCGGCATCACTGAAAACTTTAAAAATGAGTTAGCTAATCATGCTAAGAGACTGCATGACGATTTGCCGTTTGCGGTTACTGAGCGGTTTGCTGTAAATGCCAATGTTATGTTTGTATCATTTGCCGGCAGTCTTGGCAAATCAAGTACAGCATTATGTGTCAAATAAACTATACAGAACATAGTGCTTACAGTACCATAAGATATTTCTGATAAACCTCTCCAGCAGCAGGACCGAGAGCGCAATCCCAGTACTGGCTTTCAACATCTCCAATAACAGACAACACATATTCATAGGATGTTTCGTGGTCTATGTTTTGAAGAACAGGCTCCAGGTGCTGTTTAACAAGTACTTGTAGGTTATCATCACAAAATGTCGCAGAAATCTGCCAGTTTGTCTTCAGTAAAGAGTGTAAAAAACCACCATTGCATTCGCCACCATCGGAAAAAGACGAACAACGTTTCTGCAAGAAATGTTACACCGTGTTAACAATTATAGGGTACAAATGAAAAATTGTAAAATCATTGATGATAATACATGAAAGTAAATAAAATGAAATCATGTTTAATGGGGTAGATTTACATAATTAAACGTTTCCTCGATTTCCTCAGTTAAAATCATTTCGGTTTGCATGAGTAATTGCTTAAAACATGAAAATTTAGATTCTTGCGTTTCAAACTTTATATTCATTTGCCTCAAATGCAAACGAAATTATAGTTTCTGCATATTTAATCTCCCTAAGAATGCAAGAAATACTATTCCAGAAACTTTTGTTTCCAAAGTTTTCTATAGAAGTATGGTCCCGGACTCTCTCTTGAGTTTGTCTCATCCACATAGCCATCAGGGTATGCTTAATCCACATTGAGCTGTTTATGTTTACGACGTATATATGCTTACGGTGAATTCTTTAAGATGAGTTTGAAACTGCTCAACATCCGGGTCCATCAGAGTTTCATCCCTGAATTGCTTAATAGCGTATTCCATAATTTCTTGATGCTGTATTATTATTTTTTCCTCATCACAGGGAAAATATGAGGTTAGTTCTGACATCACTGACTCATAGATCGCAAACGCTGTTTCACCTAAATTATAAAAATGGCATTATATATAAAGTGTATACTCATGTATGGTGTTCGAAAAACCGTTATATATACTTTTTATAGCCACGGGAGAGGAGAGGAGATTAGACTTTATTGTATAATAATTGTATGAAGCAGATTTATCATTTTTAGCATTTGGAGATACCTGCGTTGTCATAAAGCTTGGACTTTTAGTGGTTATATATATTCTATATTATTTTCAACTAATTTATCTGAGAAACATGCATGAACAAAATTAAAATACCAAATAATTTTCTCGTTCTAAATTAGACACTATAAATATAAATATAAAGGTAACCAAATCTCCTTTACCTACATGCAGAAGAATCACTGTGTTTTGAGACATCAGAAAGAGAGAACCAAACCTCACATGAATGAGCTTTTAGGAAATGAATAATGCACTTACGGAGTTACGGGGACTGGAGGTCGAAGCATGCGTTGATTAGATTTTAAAGAATTAAATGGCAACGAAAAATAAGTCTCATAAAGACCTTTATAATTCTTTAATTTACATTTGCTTGGTTTTAGACAGGGCGTAGCCACAGGGGAATGAGGGACCCGCCCCTCAACCATTTTCTTCAGGGACAATTTCAGATGATCATAAAACATGTCTAAAATGCATAAAATAGCGTTTCGCAGACCCTATAAATAGAAACTCCTGACCCCATAGTCGTTCTGTGCATTACACGATTATACCTCTCCCGCCCCTCCGCCTCCCACACACACACGTTTCGGGGCTGCAATATTGGACAAAACCCGTTATTTCAACCAGTTATGTCCACGATTGTGGCTGTGCCTCTGGTTGATTTTAGAGACATTTTGACCAGGGGCAGAAACACATTGTGTAGTCTGTCACATACCTATAATTAACTCTGGTATGGGTGACGTTAGAATTGGGGTAAACCTGTTAAAATTATCTACCGTGTTGGCTGCATTTTCATGGAAAGCATTTTTAACATGTTGGGAGCCAATAAAAAGTGCCTTTTATGCTGATTAAGGGAACCCAGCATACTGACCAAATAGCATACTGAACCAGCATACTGAATCATGTATGCATACTGACCAAAGAACCAACACGGCCTGCACGTTGTTTCTGTTCTAAATATTTCGAAAACAAAAGACAATATGCCGATGCGGGAAAAGTGAAAAGGGACTTCATTTATTTTTTTGGCTTTTAATTTTCCCTTTGACTTTTATGAATTGATAATTAAATTCAATGCTGCATGCTGTATTTTATATTTAAAATTAAAAAGTACATACTCGCTCTTTGGTATGCTATCTTAACTGTCACATCCCAAGCTGATTGCCAGTCAGGTACAAAACCTTTGGTGTTGAGAGCGTCTAGGTAACTCTGCACCATATCAGCTAACTCTAATAATACAAAGAAATTTTCTTGCGGTATACTGAATTAATAAGGTAAACAAACATTGCTGATGGTAAATTAGTGAATGTCTTGTCTCACTAGGTTGAATCTAAAAAAATTGTTTGATGTCACATTACGTATTCTAAACCTATAGGAATTACTAACGCAAAGAGAGCCTGCGAACAGGCTCTCAAGGTGAATTAAGAGCCTGCATCGATGACTAATGAACTTGAATATCTGCGTCTCAAATCGTGACGCGAAGTTCTCATTGGTCAGATGCTATAATTTTGTATGTTTCCGCTGAGCTCTATATATGTCAACTGCTGAAGCACTATGCATAAAAAACAGATTAACTGATCAAATTGGTCTTGGCTATTTTATCTCAAAGCATGAAATGTTCTGTTTTGAGAAAACAGTATTTAAAACATTTAAACTTTTGCTTGAATATCTTATATTTCGATAAACAGTATAAACTGTACGGTCTAAATTTAGTTTGCACGAAAGTTGTAAACAACACCATATAAGGATAGACATTCCATATTTGGAAAAACGAACGTTACGGGGCAGATATTCAAAATTGTATATCATCAGTGCAGGCACTCAATTCACCTTGAGAGCCTGTTCGCAGGCTAACGCAAGGAAGGTGCTGCCTCAAACTTGACACTAGCTATTTCGTGTTGTTTAAAGCACAAATTAAAAAGCACTGCTTGTAATAAATGATTGGAATGAGTGCTTAAAAACCCGTGGCCTTGAGTATATAAATCTTTGAATACATTTTACACGTATTAATCTTGAAAGAACACAACTTTAACACGAGCGCCATAAAAAGTTCCTCATTTCGGTTTTTACGTTTGATAATTGGATTTTCTTATTGGAGTGAACGTTCGTTAAGTTACGTCATAGGTCTCCCGAAAAGGTCTTTTACTGAAAAACAATCCATAAAATTGCTTTAAAATGCAATTCTTATATTCTCACTTGATTAATCTACACAAAAACCTTTATAATTTGTATTGCACGAAGTACATCTGGTTTACGTTTGCAGATTGAATTTTTAACGCAGGATGTGGTCGAGACAACGATTTTTTCGTTGTATTAATTCGAACGTAGTTTTGTAGCCATACAACTTACGGGTTCCAGTTATTATTGAATCATTAAGTCCTTTCTTGGGATGATATTTTTCTTCTATTGAATGTTTCAACGTTTCCATCTGATCTAAAAACTCTTGATTTAGGTATTTCCTAAATTCTGGTTTGTCCATTTGCGCTAAAACATCTTCCTTGTCTGACGGTATTGGCAACGTAAATGCATCGACTGATTTGAAGAACGATTTGATATTTCGTCTTATTTCGTTTTTCCTTTCTGTGGTTTTAGATAATGTACTTTCCTCCTTCAAGACCTGAACAAAAGGAAGAAACAGGGCCTTTTTAACATTGTTACGTTTTGCTACCACCAAGTAATGATAAATTATTGTTAATAATTTTTTATTTTTTGGATGCTCAGAATGCAGGAAATAGCATTTCCGGGTTTCAAATTACAAACATTTTCTGGGAATTATCCCTCTAATCAGTAATGATAAATTACGGTTAATATTCTTTTTTACTTTTTGTGCATTTTCCCTTCTTTTATTTCAAATACAAGTATAGTTAGCATAAATTTTAGAGCAAATTTGGATGCTCAGAATGCAGGAAATGGCATTTCCGTGCTTCAAATTTCAAAAATTTTCTGCCGGAGTACACCCCCACACACATGACCATTGCTATCCTCCTCTAATAAGTAATGATAAACGATGGTTAATTTTTTAAAACTTTTTGTGCGTTTTTTCATTTATTTATTTCAAATACAAGTATAGTTAGCAATAATTTTGGAGCAACTTTGGATGCTCAGAATGCAGGAAATGACATTTCTGAGATTCAAATTTCAAAAATTTTCTGGGGGAGTACACCCCCAGACCCCCCCCATTCATGCGTGGTATATTGGCCACACATGTGGCCTTCAGCCATTGCTATCCCCCTCTAATATATTACCTCACAGAAAGGTCCCTTTTCAAAAATGCCCCCCCCCCCCACGGGAAAATCCTTAAAAAAGGCCCTGGGAAGAAAATATTATATTGTACTGTATTACTTTGTAATTCATTTTGATTTCCTTCTTCTATTTTTAGACAAAAGGAAATATCTTTATTGGTTACTGTACTCGTGGAAAAGATTCCATTCATCCAATCACAATGCTCGAAAGTTTATTATAATTAGATACACACACTCGCAGCGGTCTTGCGAGTTGTGGGCTTTTGCGATGAGTGAACTAGTTTAGTTTGAACTAGTTTACTGCGAAGTTTAAAGAATAGTTCAATAAGCAGTACCATCAATCATGCTTAACATACAGGGACAGTTTATCTAAAAAATCGCAACAAAAATATCTATTGCTCTTTTCGAAGTCAATCTTCCCAATTGTAAAACAGCATGAGTTTACAGATAAACTATGTGAAGTGTTCCTCTGTTGAGTTCCTAACTTGATTGCAATTTTCCTCATTATCTTTGCAAATTTGAAAAACTCCAATGTAAATGTAAACTCCAATGCAAATAACACCAATGACAATGCTCATAACAGGACAGGAAGTCAGGAAATTAAAACAGAAAATTAGAAAAATTTGAAAGGAAGTTTCTCTGCATTGGAATACTGCAACAGCTGATAAGCGAGTTTTTCAAATTTGCAAACAGGGCCGTACACAGCAGGAGAGGGGGGGGGGGGCAGGGGGCAACTGCCCCCTAGAGAAAACTATATTTACGATTTTTAGAATGACATAATTAATTATTCTTTGGATATTTGAAACCCTTTTTTGGAATATTGGCCTTACTGCCCCCCTGTTGAAAAAATTCTGCGTATGACCCTGTTTGCAAACGTAATGAGGGGAATCGCAAGCAAGTTAGAAACTCAAAAGAGGAACGCTTGACGTAGTTCACCTGTAAGAAGTAAAACAGTGGGCAACCTCTTCAGTGTGCCAACTGCTATAAAGTTGCTTATGCATCTATACAGATCCATACAATACCTTTTGACTCAGATATGTATTTATATCACAAGGTTGATCATCGATGTCGGTTATTTTTAACGTACGGTCACGAATTACCCAGAAAAATTCGGGCGAGCACTTCTTAAACTGTTCCACATCTTCTGCAGTATTTTCGGCATGTTTTTTGATACGGATACTGTCTGACAGTTTGGAAATATAACTGGAATGAACAAGAAACTGTACGTTTAACAATTATGAACAGTTTTCTTCTTCTCAATATATTTTTAACACCAATAAAATGAATAAATTAATAGTTTTTGACCTAATGTGCTATTAATATAAAAAGAGAATCGAGACTTATTACTTTGCAGTTCGCATATGCCTTAACACTTGAACACTTAAATACTTTATTTGGGTTGCACAAATTACTGATTTCCCAGCAGTTTACATTGTGGCCCTTGATTATGTCCCTATGATTATGGGAATGCTATTATTACTCGTGTGAGTAGTAAGAATTTGTTTGGTGGTACAAATCGAATAAGTTAAATGTATATAACATTGCATAGCTAAGCCTGCATGTTTTTCGTTGCTGTGTAATCTTTTTATCGGCAAATACAATACCGTAAACCTCCGACTATAAGCCCTGGGCTTATATACTTTCGTAAGCGGCTAATACATGGACGATTTTTTGTGTTAGTAATAAACAAGTCAGTCATAAACAGGAAAATAAACATGTACTAATAACGCGCTTTGATTCACATAGTCGGCTATAAAGACAATGACAATGTTTTTAAATATCGTTTTTTGCTATATTGAAAGACAATGTCAATGTTGAATAACGTAGTGGGCTACTGGGCTTATATTCGGGGGACTTATATTTGGGGGGCTTATATTCGGCTGGGCTTATATTCGGGGGGGTGGGGGGCTTATATTTGGAATGAGGTAAGCGTTAGTATATGTGGTGGGCTTATATTCGGGGGGGGGGGCTTATATTGGAGGGGGGCTTATAGTCGGAGGTTTACGGTATCCGACGCACCACTTTATACATCCAGAAATATTTCGTTGTAAGGAACAGGCACAGTACATCGCCTCAATGTAATTACTGTATATTGTGACTTATTTGACTTATTTGTCAAATGCAGAAACTTTGCAGCCACAGACGCATCAAATCGCTTCCAGCTGAAGGGCGTGTTCTTAGCTTCAGTTAAGTTTTCAGATTAAAGGCAAGAACGCACAGTACTGCATGTTTTATTTTTTAAAGTTTTCCAGTTTTCTCCCTGCAAATTAAAGAACTTACTGTAACTTTTCCAGGTCGCTGTTTTTCGGGACATTCTTACTGTTATAGATCAGAAGCGAGCTTATCAACACACTCAGAGTGAATATCTGGTTGTCTGTAGAATCAGTTGCATCTACACTGTCCGTTGACCCTATTCCCTCGGAGTCAAGAAATACAACTGTGATGACTTCACCAGAACGCAACCGATACTGAATTGGCGTTCGACCAATCCAAATCCCTGCAAATACAAACCATATTAGTTTTCAACAATTTTAATACATGATATTTTAGGCACAGTTGCAAAATTGATAAATCATTCCATTCCTGATAAATGGTTACGCCATGCAAAGGACAATAACACAGCCATGTAATATAAGTTATTAATGTATAAAACATGCACTGTAATTGTATATGACATTTTTAATGGGAATACAAAGGAATACAGGGATGTACTGTACAATATTCCTGGATTGACACCGTAGAATCATTTAATATTTATGATATTGACGGCATGGTTATTTGGTCTGAAGAGCATAAGAGCATAGAATAGTTATGGATGTTATTATTTTAGGAAGTCACTTTTAAATACAAATTAAAATTACGAAAGTTCTGCTAGCAATTTCAAATGGCAAATTTTGATTCTGATTATCAACGAACATGTTAAACCAGTCGCAATCTGCAATTGCCTATGCATTTCGATAAAACGGGCATTTCATGCTTTTCATCCACATTCAACATATCTCTACGACTCTGTCCTCAAAACAAAATCCCAGTAGACGCTTGTACGCTATACGTACCTATTTTTAGTTGAAGTTGTTTTGTTTAGTTTTTAATTGGTTTGTCACAATTTACATAATTTACAAAACTACAAAGTCAACTTTACATAACAAACTGAACAACAATAAGATCACACAGTACGCTATTAATTAAGGCCGTTTTCCACTTCAGCCGTATCGTCAGGGTCGTCGCTATGGGGGGAAGGGGGGGGGGGGTGTAGTGTGGCGTGTGACACCCCTCACCCTCTGAAAACATGTTGTCGGCAAAATAACGGATTTTTGGCGAATTAAATTGTTTTCGTAGACATCGGGAATATTTGAGTGGCTGGAATGGGCAATTCCAGCTATAGACTAAATTGTGATCTAGGCAAGAAGAACAAAATGTGAAAATCCTAGTAAAATTGCACAGTTTGGCCACGAAATGTTGTAAAATGCGGAAAACATAACTCTGCAAAATTTGCAAATTTTGTATTAATTTGTATTACGTGCGGGAAAATGCATCACATTTGGGCCGAAAGTGGTGCAAATTCCCGTGTGCGTAATAAGAGTAATACAAATTGATACAAAATTTAGAAATTTCGTAGGGCTATATTTTCCTCATTTTAACCGAACATTTCGCAACCAAACTTTGCAATTTTACTAATTTTAACATTGTCTTTGTAGCTGTGGTGATGGATTTTGTTCTGCTTCCCTAGATCAAGATTTTGTCTATTGCTGGAATCACCCATTAACGGTAATAGTTATGGCAAAAAAAATGATAAAATTACCAAAATATGCCGAAAATTTAAGAAATCAAGGTGCACCAATTCGAAACTAAGTTAAAAATAATATGTCTGAAAAATTTTTGCCTCTCCCCCACGCTCGCCAACAATTACGGGTTCGGCAAATGTGATACTACACTTCCCCTTTTTTAGCCTCTTCGCTACGGCCCTGCGTATCGTATCGTAACGTGCTGTACGGTTGAAGTGAAAAACAGGTTTCATGACAGGAGAAACAAACATGACTTTCACCCCAACTCACACTTGACCCTTTTCCAACAACGCAATAAACTAATGAATTGCTTATTTTGTACTAAAAGATACTAAACAAAGCCCTGAAGGCTATATGTATGTAGTTTGAATAAATATACGTTTTGAAATTTATTTTTGAAAACATACAGAAAGGTAAAAGCTTTGAAACAGAAAGTATAGACCATTCGACTGTTCTAATACAAAATGAATTTCCAAAGTAGCCCTGTTTATGTTTAATTAACTGAATGTCAATGTTTAATTTGATAACAAAATATTGGTACAAGTACATACCCATTGTTTCCGCTTTCATTGTATGGCCAAGTCGAAAATTGCTGCCCTGCAGTTGACTGAGAAGATATGATTTCCCTGTTCGTGCTGGACCAACAACGCACACTACACAAAGAGGGCCCTTTATAGACCTCAAAATCCTCAGGCCTGCCTCGCATGGTTTCAACTCCGACCGTTTAACACCTTGTCTTGGTACCAACCTGCATTCTGATTCCTCCCACTGATAATTGTTAGGGTTGCACAGAGGAACCGCACTCTGTGGCACATTCACTGACATCGCCGAAAATTATTGCCTAAAATAACAGAAAAACGCCATTATGTAAGAGATAATTACCAAGAACGAGGTTTCTTAGCGAGATACAACCCGAGGGGCGTGACCCCGAAGAAAGCGTCCCGAGGGCCGATGGGGTGCTTTCTGAGGGATACGCTCAGGGGGATGTATCTCACTAAGAAACCGACGTCCGAGATAATAACTAATGAAATTAATCATTCAAATTTGCAGGGACGCCGGAACTGGGGGGGGGGCAGGGGGGGGGGGGGGGC